CCACTTTTGGGAGGAGAGGAAAAGGCACCCGGCGTGGGGTGGTTACACTGTACGGCACTGCATCTTCGGTCAGCTCGATTTTTACAGGTTCACAGTTCAGCAGGCCAATTTCTCCGAACACATCCTCTTTTAAGTCACTACTGATTTTGTTAACTCTAGTGACTAATCCCATGCGCTTTGCTACTGTCTTCCCCAGTAGGTTACTTGCATATTGCCCTTTTATAACTGTAATCCAGTACTGGTACTTTTGGCCTTTGTACTCTGTAGTAGCAAGGAATTTACCCATGCACTTGACTTTTCCACCAGGGCTGTACACAGTTGGCTTACACTGGATAAGTTTGGGTCTCTGCTGTAGCTTATTAAGGGTCGTTTCTGTCATAACAGTGGTGTCTGCACCTGTATCAATTTTGAAATCAACTGGACTGCCATTTACCAGTAGCTCAATGTCCCAGTCGGCATCTGAGCCTGACTCCTCAATGACTGTTGTTTTTGGCTCAATTACTGCTCCTAGGAAAAGCTCCCCTATGAAGAATGAATCCTCATCTGAGTCCTCTACAGCCTCAGCCCTGACCTCTTTTAGCATTTTGGTTTTGCATACAACTTCAAAGTGTCCCAACTTATTGCACTTTCTGCATCTTTTATTGCGGGCTGGGCAGTTTTCTCTTTTGTCATGCACCCTGTTGCATCTTTGGCATTTTGGTTTACTCTCACCATGTTGTTGCTCACGTACCTGATGAGGTTGGTAGTAACTCCTTCTCATGCTGTTATAATGCCTCTGTTTCACCTCATTCACCGTGCTTTCCACTCGGTCTGCACTTTGCTGTTTGACTTGTTCACTCTGGCGTGCTAGTTGAATGGCTTTATCCAAAGTTAAGTCCGCCTCGAGCTGGAGTTTTTGTGAAACATCTTTGTCAATTAATCCAATGACGATACGATCCCGGATCTGCTCGTCTTTACTGCCGCCGAACTCGCAGTGCTGCGCGAGCTCGTACAGGCCCCGCACGAAAGCCTCGACCGTCTCCCCGGCCCTCTGGCTCCGTTTGTGGATAACGTTTCTCTTTGGGACAAAGTGCTCATCGAACTTTTGTATAACCAGATCATACTCAAACTGCGGACTTGGCCTGGCCTCCGTAGCAGCAGGAAACACAAATGAGCCATATATTGGTTCGGCATCTCTCCCCATGGAGTAAAGAAGCGAGTTCACCTGCACTTCGCCGCTCTCCATCCCTAGCTTGGACGCCACTCGAAAACGGGAGAATCTCTGCCGCCATATCGGCCACTCCGCCGGGTGTGTAAAGTCGAACGGCTCCGGAGGTCCAAATTTAGCCATTTCTTCGTGTAACTCGGCGTGAAGTCCTCAATTCTGACACCATGTCATGTTCGGAGGCAATAAGACGCAGGGTTCTCAAGCACGAACCACTTTTTATTGAGTTGTAGCAGCAGTGTCTGTGGCTACATCAATTTCTGGAAAAAACACATATACACCGCTCTTCTAGCGACCTCTAGTGGCTTACCTCATGGTAGCCTTACTAGGACAACATAAACAGATTTCACAACAGCAAACAAGCAGAGTTTGTAAAGTAAAGAATCAATCTCACCAGGCTAGTATCGATCCGATACCAATGCCGACTTGGGATCGATACTATCGATCTGAACACGCTGGGCAGAAATGTTGAGAAGCGCAAGCAACACATTGCGAGCAAACGCAAATGCAAAAACAGAGCAAAAGGGGCTGCCATTGGTGTGTGTGTGGATAACAGCAAACACTGAAATACATTTTTGCACACAGCAATTCATTTTGTTCACTCAAATTTAGCTTTTCTTTCCTCAAAATCAAATTCTCCTCAAAATGCAACACTTGCACCTGCAAAGGTAGCACATGTGGATACACTAGCATATTTTTTACAGGGCTAACACATCGAAGACATCGTTAACAGCTTCTACAATCACATAGAAGCTGTTTTATAAAGTTTTATAAATTTTATAAGTTAGAAACCGGACTGTGAATCACAATTTAATTTGCACAATTCGAGACTCACCGGAGTTAATTTATTGCTCACACAATACATGAACTCTGTAGCTCAACACGTTACAGGATTGCAAGTTCCACATGGTAAATGGACTGGTTCTTTCTACTCTCCTGGAGTACTCAAAGCGCTCTATACAACACACCCATTCACACAGGCATTACTATCTATACTTTAAGTGCTTTCTAACTATCAATTATACGCATTCATACGCCATAAGTATCTTGCCCAAGGATATTTGGCATGCAAACTATGGAGCCAGGGATCGAACCACCAACCCTCCTGAGCTACAGCCACCCCACCACAGCAGTTTTGTGCATCTGCAAAACAAAATCAGTGCTCAAAACTATGTTTCATGGAGTTCTTTTACCCTTTAAACACAGTGCAATATACAGAGAAATTTACCTTGCTGCCTGCAGAGAGCTGCAGTGAAAGAAAGTTAACATGAGCAGTGCAGCGGTGCATTCATGGTACATGGGAAAACTCAATACTTCACTAAAGATAAAACAAAATTAAAATAAAAATAAAATAACAACCAATAACCAATAATACATACCAGGACCAGGGTGAACTTTGAACTTGTAGGTGGAAAACAGAAGACACATAAATATACAACAGTTTCCAGTTTACATTAATTTATGCATCTGAAAACCAGAATAAAATATTTAAATAAAATTAAACAACAATATGTAAAAATCTCTCTTTCTGTCTAGTTCAGGTTAGTTTGAACTCTTATCTATGTTAACTACTTGTTAACCTGTGTTAGCTCCTTCAGGGTTAACCAGCTTTCTTTCAGCTGCTCTTCAAACTCTGATCAATATGAGCCGACTCAGTTTACTCACTAGACCTGCAGAGTGGCTGGTTAGGAATAATCAGTAACACAGTGAGTTACCAGTACAACACCAACACAATGAATGGAATTACAACACTGAAAGCACAAAATCAGCTGTTCACAGATTTACAGAGAAAACTTTCACAGTCACAGTCTGGTGTGGAATCAGTTCTTGGATTAAATCCTCTGTGTGTTGCAGTAACAGGGATTATTGTGGCGTCGTATCAAAGTTCAGAAGTGTGAGTCAGTTTCCTGATCTCTGGAATATGAGTTGATCCAGCAGGAACAGATGATTTCAGTGGAAGTTCAGATCTCCTAGGTGTGGATCACCATCAAGGTTCAACAGTCTCAGATTTCAGTTCTGAGATCTGCACTCGGCTGATAAACCTGATCTGTTTTGCAACACAAACACTGGAGTCTTATTCCAGCATTCCTAACAGCTCAGCTGGAAATCACATCCAAACTGCTCCCTGTAATGGCATTGGTGAAGTTGACTGTGCATATTAGTGTGGTCTAAAGACATCTGTGCGACAGGAAATGTCAGCTTCCACAGCAAAAGAATATAAAACAACCTTACTAGGTCTCATCTTAGCTATCAGAGGCTTCAACATCAGATTTAGTAAAGAACACAAGGACATAACGTGCTAACTGACACCAAAGAAAACTAACTGTTACTCACCAAATCCCAATACACCAAAAACAAAAGTAAAAAACAACACCAATGAAATGATAACTGCTCACACTCATTTAGGAGCAATTCTCACATGTTCAAAATACAATCAGATCATATTGACCTGGGTTGCTTCCTCATTATTGATCAATAAACTCAGTCATGCTTCAAATTAATTATTTGAAATGTGCATGTATGTAATAAATTAAAATACACAAAAGTAAATAAAACAAATTCACTGTTTTGATCAAAACAGAAATACAGAATATTTTTTGTGGCACAGTTTGTTTTATCTCAACTATGGTTTCATGATATTTGATCATTTACATATTTCCATCTTTAAATTGTTCTGATTCAGTCATTTTTACTTTTATGTTCTTGTTCTAAACTGAACTGCAGCGAAACCAAAGGCTGAACTGAGCGCTGATAGGACAGCTGTTCCAGTAGGGGGCAGTGTGACCCTGACCTGCTCTGTGAGCCCATCATCATCATCATCATCATCATCATCATATGGATGGAAATACTACTGGTACACAGATGGGAAATCTTATCAACCTGTGACAAATGAACAAATCAGTGTCTCAGAGGGAGGAATCTACTGGTGCAGAGGAGGAAGAGGAGAACCAGTTTACTACACAGAGGACAGTGAGTCAGTCAGGATTGACACAACTGGTGAGTGTAAATGTAACTTCCTACAAAACACTACATCTGATGGTAACTGAACCTTTTGTCTTTCATGTGTTTTTATTGTACTTTCTTGAACATTAACAGTGTCAAACAGGTCTGTTGTGACTCTGTATCCAAACTGGTCTGAGATATACGGAGGAGAGACGATCACTGTCAGATGTGAGATCCATGGAGGAGACACTGAGTGGGATTATGAGTGGGAAGCAAACAGCATCAGAAAACCTCCAAATCAAAATGAATACAGGATTAGATCTGCTTCATCATCCAACAGTGGAAACTATCGCTGTAAGGGCAGAATGAAAAGTTCACAGCATGAAACAACAGAGTGGAGTGATTCAGTCACACTGACAGTTTCTGACAGTAAGTCATGTTTGCTTTAAGCTGTTTGAACACTTTGTAAAATGTGTTTCTGTTCATATAGACTGAGATTATTATTCTTTGTATAAACTGAGCTCACTGTTCAGAGACTGTACTACATGTTCACTGAGAGAAAATCTTTGTTGAACAGATAAACCCCGTCCTGTCCTCACTGTGTCTCCATCATGGCTGAGTCCTGGAGCCTCAGTAACTCTGAACTGTGAGGTTGAACATCCGTTTGCAGGATGGAGCTTCAACTGGTATAAAGCTGTTCCTGATCTGTCAGAGTACTCTTACATTTATGAGCTTCTACCTGATGGCAGAAAGACTGTAGAGAACTCCTACATCATTCATGAACAGATATCCACAGCAGGATATGTGTGCAGAGCTGGAAGAGGAGACGCAGAATATCACACTTATTACAGTCAACCAAAGTTTGTCTGGTCTGCAGGTCAGTTTATTTCTCTGTCCTTTCAATGAGCTCATGTTAGCTCATCATTTTTATTCACCAGGATTTAGACCATTAAAATCTCATCTCCATGACAACCATTTATCTCCGTTTATATTAAAACTCCCCAAAAGAACAAATGAACTGAATGTTTTCCTTTCTCTCTGTGATCAAACCAAACTGAATTTCTTCGTTTCCTTTTCTTATTTTTCAGTTTTTATGTAATGTGATAACATGAAAAACAAAAGACATCTATGAGATTTTAAATGTTTTGATATTTAAACTCATGTTACTGTTTGCACTGATTATTTTTACTTAGTGCACAGACAGGATTTACACAGTTAAGACTCTTTGTTTAGTGCTCAGGTAGGTGTTCAGATAAAAAAGTCAAATATAGTTAATAAAGAAACAAAGATGTCAGCAGGCAGGTTAACAGCTCTGACAAATACAAGAGAAACACTGACTACAGATGGACGCTAGAAGAAGACGTCACAAATAACAGCTGCTGTTATTGTTCATTTAAAATATACTTCAAAGGTTTTTAGTTTTGGTCCTGCTGCTGCAAAATATCTCACTGTAGAAGGAATCTGTGAAACAGACAATATCACAGAATTATGACAGAAACATTACAGCAAATGACTGAAGTGTGTTCAGAGTGATCTGTATCAGGTGGATGATGCTGAGAGTGATGACTCAAAGCTCATGATGTCACATGACGTGTACCAAGCTCTACATGAGCTGCCAGCAGATAAAGCATGTGGGTTAGATCATCTTAAACATGTCAGTATTCGGCTCCTTTGTTTTCCATTGATTTGACTGTCTGTGTGATTCAGGGCTTGTTGTCAGACTCAGTGTTGTCTCACCAAACAAACACTTTATCATATTGAACTATTAAATTTGATCTTCAAAACAAAAGCTTCAAACAAACAAATATTTTCACTGTGATATTTTGAATCCTAACATCTGTGAGCTTTGTCTGTTCACTGCATGTTGTTTCCAGATGTTCATTCAGCAGCGTCTCTCACAGTGAGTCCTGACAGAGTGCAACACTTCACCTCTGACTCTGTCTCACTGACCTGTGAGGGAAACTTCACTGAGTGGAGAGTGAGGAAGTTCTCTGAGGACGGCCGACTCTCTGACTGTAGGAGAATGACTGGATCCACATGTGACATCAACACATCAAAGTCAGATACTGGAGTGTACTGGTGTGAGTCTGGATCAGGAGAGTTCAGCAGTGCAGTCAACATCACTGTACAGAGTATGTTATTATACATTTACTTCTTGGATCTGAATGATTTAGACGTCACATGAACATTTGTCTCAGCTTTGCTGTATGTGAAGTAATTCTATGTGGCAACACAAACAAAAATGAGAATTTCAGACAATTTCAGGCAACGAAGCATCAAAATATTCTTGGATGTTGGTCTAATTTCTCTTCATCCTTTTATAATCCAGTTTGTCATAATTTGCCAACAGTATTTTTTATTTTCTCTGTCAGAATAAAACTCAACAAAGCTCAACATCTCTGTCGTCACATTAGATGAACCTTTAATGTCTCAATTCAGAGAAATTTGGGAAACACGTCATGCAAAATAACACAAACATAGAAACATTTACAATTTCTACCTTTAACCATTCAATAATGTCACCGTCAATAATTTGACTCCTGCAGGGAACATCCCAACTATATTTCCAGTCCTCATAATCACTCAGAAAACCAGGTCTGCATGTAGATCATGAGACACGACTCACAGCTTTTTCTCAAATTGTGCACCAGCTGGTCTGACTGAAACAATTGTGTGTGATTGTGTCACAGATGATGGTAACGGTCCTATCCTGGTGAGTCCTGTTCATCCTGTGACTGAGGGAGCTTCTGTTAGTCTGAGCTGCAGTTTGAGAACACAAAAAATACTTTCCAATGTGTTTTTCTATCACAATGACAAACTTATTCAAAATGATCCCCGAGGGGAGCTGAAGATCTCTGCAGTGTCAAAGTCTGATGAAGGTTTCTACAAGTGTCAGTACTCAGGAAGAGAGTCAGCACAGAGCTGGATGTCAGTTAAAGGTGAGCAGGATCAAAACAGTGTGTCTTTCTGTAAATGAGTTTCATGACTGAGAAATAACATCATATTATCTTTCTTAATGTTTTGAAGCCACCTGGGTCTATTTAGTCAGAACTTTTATAAAACTATTATGTAATATCTCAATATTGTCAGGTTTAATATTGTTGTGGTTCAGGACTCATGTGTGGGACTCAGGTGAAAACAGCAGAGGATGTAATGAGTCAAAGTTTAATCAAACAAAGGATAATTTATTTAACACAACAGATTGTGAGCTTTGACTCAGTCAACAAGAACAAAACACAAATGAACCTAAACTTAATGAGCGAGTCCTACAAAAACATCTTAACTGAGGTGAGAGAGACAGGCCAGAGGAGCGGACATAACAGTGTGAGGGCGGCAGATCTGTGGGAGAGGAGAGAACAGTTAGGGCAGGAAATCTGAGGGAATGTGACAAGACAGAGAGTGTTCATAAAGTGGCTGCAACAATGCCTTACTTGGAGTCCAGACTGGGTGGGGGTAAAGAAAAAAGCAGAGGCCCAAGGAAACTGCTGAACGATGGGCAGGCAGGCAAGTGAGTAAGAGGCTCCGAGGGGGGCAGCAGTGGTGGTGAATAGGGGGGTAATGATCCAAGGTGGCAGGCGTCTGACTGGAGGTGAATGATGGCATGAAAACGAATCTTGAAGCAGGAAGAAACTGAAACAAGGGGGAAATCTGTTAGCATACAAACCTTATTTTCCTAGAAAGGATCCCAGCAGACCTGCCTGGTTACCTCACTGACGAGCTGCAGTCATGTTAACTATCCATTAACATTTGGCTTACAGCCACCGAGGTCTTCAAGGTCAACTTTATGACTAAAAAAAATCCTTATGACATAAAAAACTATGATTCTTACAAAGGTGTTGTGTCTTGTCAACATATAGAAAATACTGTATAAAGATTTAAAATATCCTGTTACGTTTGACCTCTGACCTCACTTTTACATTTCACATGTGCCCTTGTTGTCATGTTGAAAAAATCTGCCTTTGGACTTATTTTTACTGAACTACAAACTTCTTACAATACAAATAAAACAAAATAAATACACTGAAAATACAATATTGTTTCCTTAAAAGTAAATATTGTCAACAGAGTGAGCTGCCTTAGCAGAGATTTGTGCTCTCAGAGTTCTTCTTTTACACTTTATTAATAATTAATTATTGTTTGTTGTCACAGTAACTGTGTCAGGAGCTGACAGCTCTTCATCTCCTGTGTGGTTGATGGTTGGACTGGTTTGTGGAGTCTCTCTCATTATTATTCTCCTGCTCTTGTTGTATCGCTGCAGACAGTCCAAGTGTAAGAGCCTCTTCTTTTCATGCTGTATTAGAGAGTTTATTTACTACATACACTTTAATTATTCACACATATACATGTATTCTGATCTCATGACACTAAATATCAGTGGAACAATTCATACATGACAAACATGTGTAATAACATTTGTCTCTTTCACAGATTCCTGCTTCACCAGGTTGGTAAAATACTTTTTATTATAATTTTAAACAAACATCAGTTACTTTTGAGTTTATTGTGTTTATTTCCTGTTTTAGGTCGATCCAGTCTGAGAGTCACAGTCCGGGCTCCTCCACAAATCATGGAGTCAACCAGAATGAAACTCATGTGTACGACTCTGTTCATCCTGGTCAGTATTTAATTCATCTTTATTATCATCATTATTAATATTGACTTTTAAAATAAGTCTTCATTAACAGGAACAGTTTTTAGATTAACTTTGTGCTCAGCGGCTTTTAAGAGAATATTTGTCAAAATCCAGTTGGACAAACATCCAAACAGTAAACTGACACATAAAATGAGAAAGAAAAATAATTTTACAAACCTGATTGTGTCTTTAACTCGACTGAAAAAATCCATAATGTTATTGTTTCATATCAGAACAGCACAAACAGTAACAACATTATGGGTTCATGGTCCAAAAATATCTCATGGTCTTGGTTTTGACTTAAACAGAATTTTTTAAACTCTGCTTTAGGTTTTTATTAAAATGATTAATGTGACCCTGGTTCATCTTTTTTTAGGTACTAATAACCTCTATGAATCAGTTAGCCAAGTGGAAGACGACAGAAATGGTGCAGTATATGTGCAGAAAAGCACAGAGCTGTTACAGATGAAACTTGTTTTTGATTTAATAAAATTAATTCCATGTGAAATGTTTACAATCCTGTAACTAAAATATGAACATTTCAGGATCAGATGAACATCAAGATGTCACATACTCTCTTATTGAACTTAAAAACTTTGAAAAGAAGCGTAAGTACATAAAACATGTGCAATTAAATGTAAATGTAATGCAAAATAAAATAAATAAATATTTTAAAAAATCTAACAGTTAATTATTTCCTTATGTCCAACAATCTGATCATCTTCGCAGGGAAGCATCATGAACCAGAGCAGAGTGCTGTTTACTCTGAGGTGAAGACGGGAGCTGCAGGTACGGACACAACAGTCTCATTCAGTGTTTGTACTGAAATGTGTCATTTCATTATGTTGCAGCTAATTATAGGTCAACCTGGAGTTTAGTTATTCCCTTACCAAGCTTAGCTGCTACACATCAGCAGAGTTAATCTGCAGTCATTTAGGGTTTTGGTGGGTTAGTCATTAAATCAGGTGTATTTGTTTAACATGATACTGTGTTGCTGTGTTCTACAGACACACTGTAGAAGTCGAACAGATTTAATAAGTGATTCAGAAACACAGCAGGTCAGAATGTTTGCAAAGAACGAAGAAAACTCAAAACAAACTTCTTCCACAGTTTGAGTTCAGTCTCTTCCTCAGATCAGAGGTTAATCTCTAATCTAAAGCCTTTGATCAAAGTCTTTAATCTGGGAGGCAAAAAAAAGTCCCCTTTCAGCTGGATTTACTGAATCACAGCATCCAGAGCTTCTGAACTAGACCACTGATCACAAAACCAAACACCATCAAATAAAACACATAATCTGAGTGTGCTCGATCACTGGAGGCCCAGCAGAGCACTGTTTAAGCTGGTTGTTTGATACAGGAAAGTATCAGATGTGCCAATAGCATGGAAACTTGTGTGTATGTGGAATAGATGTAGGGCATGATGAGTAAGGGATGAAAGAAGGGAGTGATGCAGACGGGCACATGAGTATAAATGATGCTGTTTGGGAAGGTTCGAGGTTCTTTTTGTAGTTTGCTAAAGATGAGTAACATCAGCAACATCTGAAGAAAGCACTGTGGAGTCACAGTCAAAAGTTTCAGTTGTCCAATCACTGTGGACTTATGAAGTGAAATTATCATTTTTTTTGTCTCACAAAAGAGTTGGAAGACTTTGTACTTGTGATTAGTTATATTTGGATAAAATTCAGGTGACTGAATCAAGTGATTATTACTAGTTGATTAAGGTTTTTGCCCCTGCTAATTTGCTTAAATAAAATATCCTGTGTTCAAAATTCTAAATTGTTAACTTTTTTGTAACAGTAAAAGAAACCTTGTGACGTTTTACATCTCGTCAATGGTTCTTGTTACTCTTAGCACTTAAAGTAGTCTGTTCTTTTCTAAAGTAATAATCTAGTGAAACTACAAAGAGCGAGAATCATTAAGGGGAGCGTAGCATTAATGCTGTTAATGGCTGTGGCTGACAAATCTGCAGTTTAAATCCACCTCTACGTCCAACAGCTCTGTGTCATATATCTGCTGATCAAATGTATCCTGACTTCTCTCTTAGAGGACAGTCTGATGTATGCTGAGGTCAAACGCCCCAAAAAAGACAAAGCCAAGAAGAAAGCAGGTAAACAAAGTCTGCCATCACCTCCAGTGAATGTTGTTCAACATGTTTATCTGGTCTTAAAATCTTCTTTCCACTCACAGGAAAATCAAGTCCTGCAGCTGATGCAGCAGTTTATTCTGAAGTCACGTTAGGAAGCTTTCCTGGTAATTATGCTGCCATGCAGGATGAGTTATTCTTCAAGTTATTAAATGGTGAACATCCTGAAACTTGGACATTTGTGTTCTTTGTGTGTTTGTCTTACAGGTCAGTGAGGAGAGCTGCAGCAGCAAAGCCAAAAAGGAGCATTTTATGAATCCACTGTTGCTCCTCTGCTGCCCAAATATCAGACACACTCAGTTTTTAGTGTTTATGAAGATGATATTGAATAATAATATGATATAGATTCTTTTAGCATAAAGCACACAGAGGTGTGTCCTGTTTCAGATCCATGCTCTTTATATGCAGCTGATATTTTTTATTCATTTTTAAGCTTTAATATAAAATTTTGAATGTATCCTGTTCCAATAGCAAGTGAGAAAAAAGTTTTGAAGTCTGTGATTTTTAATACCTGAAAGCAACAACTTAAAGTCAGCAGAGTCACATTAGTGCTGGTATGAACACCAACAAATACGTTTACTGTCTGAGTTTAAAGATCTGCATCATGCAAAAATGAATTATTTGTTATAAAAACATGAAAAAGCTGAGCTTGATTCATTTGATGTCAGATACTGTCAGATGCTGTGAATTTTATTTTTTATTTAATTTTATTTTAATATTGTTTGCTGTTCTCACTTTTTCTGGATTTAACGTTTTACTTTTTTTAAGGTTATATATTTTAAATGAAGAGCTCTGCGATCAGCTCTGTTGTTTTAAACATATATAAATAAACTTAACCTTGACTTCACTTTCTCTTATATTTTCAGCACATTCAGATCAGATGTCTTTTCTAATCACCTGCATGTCTGGACTTTGGGATGAGCTTGGATGGAGAAAACACTGAAAACATGAACATAACTTTTATGAGCTGATCATTCAACAGCTTAATTATAATGAATCTGCTGATCTGCTTTGACAGGACTGTGATCAATAAGTCGATGTTATAAGTCAAGACGAGTCAAAATGTTTCCAAATGAAAGAAGAATTTTCGGAGCAGTTTAGCATGTGAGCAGTGTTACAACCCAGAAGACTGCACACTTATGTTTGTGGACGGAGATGATGAGTCCTCAGTTTACTGGCATCATTGAACCATCTGGGGTGTAGTGGGCTACAGATGCTGAGGACACTGTCAGAGTAACACTTGATATCCCTTTATTTAAAGTAGCCAATGAAGCACCACAGTACAGGAGTTTTACTTTGTTGTTGTTTTGTAGTACTTCATAATACACTATATAGTTGTTGGTGTTATTTCCCACCATTTACTGTGTAACTTTGTGAATTTATGGAGATACTGTATTTAACTGTAGTGAAACCCTAAACTCAGAGATCCTGGTCTAACTCCAAAGATCTCCTCTGGAACCACAGCTGCTGACCAAACTTACAGATTTATACTTTTATTTTTTTACTTGTTTAAGGAAATACTGCACACTGCTGCTACAGGACCAAAACGCTGCATCACCATGGAGGCTGCTGGTATTTGCCTAACATGATAGCTCATGTACCCCAAGCTCACTGTAACTGCATCATGTCTGAATGTTAACAATACAGCAGTGCCCGACTCTTTAAACCTACAATCTCGACCTCAGCTGCTTCTACAGCTTTAAACACAGCACTTTCAGACTCTCAGGGCTCATATCAGTCAGTTTTTACCCTGACTGGGAACAAATCACTGTCAGTGCCTTTACTCTCTGCACCTCAGACTTACAGAAATCAAGAATACTCCCATTCAGTAGCATTTTCATATTCAACACATTTCTCATCTCATCTTTATGCTGTTTGTGCATCTTTAAATGCAACAAGAAATTTAAATCCACTGACTCTTTCAAATTTAGACACTATTTCATGAACACCAACACTCCCACTCCCGCTCTCAGACCCATCCCTCTCTGTGGTTTGGCTCTTTTGACCCTACTTTTCTTCTTCAGTTTGATTCCCTGCTGTGCCATAATTAGCCTGTAAGGTGGTCCAAAGGAACATAATCCAAGATCATAAACATAAAATGCTTAGTTTGTTCTTATATCCATGTAATCAATCATTTTGTATAAAAGTAATTAAAAGTCAGTCATCTCTCCTTCCTCCAACTTCCTCATCTGCCATTCCCATTAAGTCAGGGCAGGTGGAGCTTATTGACTTGGTAGCTGTCTTGATGGGGCATTCCAGCTGAAACTTCCGACTTCAACATGAACACATCATTGTTCTATAAGCCGAGTTTCCAGTACAACAAACAGAAAGGTGCTGTTTTACTCCTTCGGGAACCTGACAATATCTGGAGCTCATCAAGTTTGTTGTGGAGTGATAACACAGGCGAAGATAAATGTGGAAAGAGGTATCTGTTTGTGGTCCTGTCTCATGACGACCGACAGTTTAGAGGTCCGATTCCCTAAAAGGATCCGATTGGATGATCTCTGCTGGAAGATTTGGAGACGAGTCCAAGGTTTCACCAAAAAAAGAGAAATTAGTGGCTATGAGTTTCAACATGTGGCCTAAAAGTATAAAAAGGGAAAGAAAGCCGACACGCTGAGGTGAGTGACTATTACTTCTGTCTCTAAAAAATAAACCACACTCACTGACTTTTACTGCAGCACAAACAAACATGTCTCTTAAAGTTCAGCAACAGTGCACAGAGATGCTCAACCTATCACAGCAAAATAACCTTTAACATTCGTTACACTATTATATACTGTAGAATTCAGACACCAGCCTAAATATTTCCGGTCTTTCTGATTCGCATTAATTGTAGCAGTTTGACAGATGCTTAAATGTTGTCCGTCGCAGATGTGACAGTGATCTGTGGTGTTTCAGAGCTGGATGAATGTACTCTCATATCCTGGACCCTGATATTGTGGTGGCTTATCAGTGACTTTCACTTTCAAAACACACAATAAGAGGGAGAAATCACGGGTGGATGACTCAGAGATATGGGTGCAGTGCTAGTCCATTCCAATAATGATATTGATATTGTAATAATGGATTTTGTTGAAATTGAACAGAATTAAAGCTGGTTTAAGGTTTTTAGTTACATTTCTGCACAGAGGAAGAAGCAACTCTCATCTCTTCACAGTGTCGTCACTTGACTGTTTTAGTCTGTCAGACTTTCGTAAATACCTGCAGCCTCACAAAGCCCACAGGAAAAACACAAAAACAAGATTGATGTGTATTTATGCACATGGCACAGGAACATGTTCTTCATTAACACACGGACTTGAGGCTAAATAAAATTTGATGTTCTTCTACACATCACCCAGGTCAGCTGTCACAGGTAGTTTTCAGGTTTATGTGGTGGAACAGTTTATAATAATGCAGCTCCTCTCCTGTGGAAACATCATCGTGCTAATTTGGCCGACAGCTTTCAGTCACAAAATTGACTTTGGTGAACCTGGACACGAGCTGCTCATTTTACATTTACGTTACAGTTTAGGTTTCTTGCATGACATATGAAATGTTACTTTTTAACTATAAAGACACATCTCCTGGATGCACTGGTACGCATCTTCAGTGATGTATCCTAGGGTCATCAGGTGTTTCAGGTCTCACAACATCATACACCC